TCATAAAATATAATTCTTTACCTAAGAATGTGCCTCTCTCTCGCCCTGCCTCCCCCGTAGTGTAGAGAGAGTAAACAACAACAGAAATATTCTGTCAATATAACACCACTTGTGGTGAATTAAAAGAACCGAAACCACCAACATTGTAAATTATAATTATACGTCAGAGTTCAAAAGACGCATAATTTATAACCCAGTGCTTTTTTATCATTTTTTGGAACTATTTCATGGCCGTCGTAATGAATCCACTCCCCACGTCCCATTTATAACGCAGTAGCATAAAAAGATATATAAACAATTAAGATTTTTCTAATATATAATTCAATTCATTGTCTCCCATACTATTGAGTGGAGGTTATGCGCCCAATACATAGTTCCCAGATCAAACTTAGAAAATGAAGGAACTCATATTAATATATGAAACTTAATATCTTACAAACAATTCACTGGCACCCTCGTGCGATTTGCACGAATCCACAACATCCCTCCCGCTTCACGCTTCCCCCTTCGCAAGTCAGAAGGACCGATATTAATCTACCCCTCTATCTGTGTAACCATTCGACTCCATTGAAATGCAATTCTTGTAAGCAGCCATTGCCTAACTTCTTCTCTCCGTTTTTGTTGTTGAGATGTTACTTGCTGTTATGTTAATCTGCGCTTATACAAAATAAAATGGATAGTTGGAGGATTAACAGAATATAAAAGAGACCAACTTGTGTTTCTAATCTCAGTGGTGAGTATACATACAATCATGTAATTCTGTGCGTGTTATGGTCGTGTGTACCCAGGTTCAAAGCCATTTGCTAATACAATTGTTAAATATCTACACTTTGTACTGTGTTCTGATACTTTCTTGCTGAAAGAAAATTATTTGGAGTTTAGTGAAAAAAACGTTAATATGGTGTCTATTTTATTGCAAATGATGCGTTTTGATTAAGATGGTACCATTAGTTATTCAATAATAAATGAAATAAATTATCAAAATAAGTATAAGTTCACACTTAAAGGTGAGTAAGCATATACTCTCACTGTGGTGTTTAGATTTTGAATATTTTCGCATAGTTGGCAGGAAGCAGGGAGGAAGGTTCAGGAGAGGCAGAAAGAGAAAGAGAGAGGCGAAAGAAGCAGCAGAGAATTGGAGTTGAGCCAAGTGATGCTCATTTGCCGCTATATTAAGAAGTGGGAGGATCTGTTCCGAAATATTGATTTTCATACTGCAGGTATGAAATACGATATTGGGCATCGTTCGCAGTGTGTTTCAACCCAATTATGGAGTGTAACAATAGAGATTGCCTCCAAGACGTGGACAGGAAGCCAAAGAGGCACATGATCTGCACATGCTCGGTCTGCTCTTTAGTTGCAAATAAATGGAGCCGGATGCAGAGGGAGCCAGGGGCTGGATAATGCTCTTTAATGTGCCACAGCTAAACAGACAAAGACGAACATTTCAATTTGAACTGCAGCCGCACGGACGTGCGTGCACACGTGTGTAATGATCAGATATCTTGTTGATGTAGCGGTGAACCTCAGAGGAAATATCATTGAACTTAGAGCAGTGAACTCTCGCTTGCCTTAGTCTGTTTCCCATGATCACTCGTTCTCTCTCTCTCTCTCGGCTCATTTCCATGCCCAGAGCCTTCCCCCCATCGCATCACCATATGGATGTCTCTATCACCGTGTGTCCACTGACCTCCCATAGTCCTTCACTTCCTGGAAGCCCCTCACATTTACACCCCTCACTCACATCCACATTATAACCACACGTTAAGAATGAAGAAATAATGATTTATACGTTTATGTTTTTTAAGTCCAGAAGGAAAATTGCCAATTTGGTAGTAAAATATGTATTTTTTCTGCTTTTTGGGGCGATGTGTGATTAAAAACTAAATTAAAATGCATTCCAGAATTTGCCAGGTCCAGCTGGGTCAGGTTATATGAGAGCTTGCCTACATCGGATGCTAATTTGGAATACAGCCTTTCCACTACAGTGCCATGTCAATGGGAGTTTGGATCTGAAAACTGAACCTGGCAGTTGGAAAGCAACCATCAAACTTATTTGAGGGCCGCCATCCAAAGAAAGAAAATCATTTTGAAGCGCTGAAAGTAATTAGGCCTCATGATGATCCCCTGATATTTTATTTTTTAAAAATAACCTTTTGATGCCTCCACCCAAGCAGTGCCATGTTGTTTTGCGTGCTGTCAATGAAACGAGGCGCTCAACAAAAGACGGTAATAGATCTTACACGTTTTGACAGTTGTGTGTGCTTTGAGTGCATGTGTCAAATACGCACCATAAAGAGATATGTGTGACCTGCAGATTGGATAATGTGATGCAGTGATAATACAGTATTATCAGTTGTATTTGTCTGTATAACCACAGCCCGCTGCAGAAATCAGGAAAGACAAAGGATCCTGACTGTCTCTTGATTGGATTCTCACATATTCTCTCACTTTCATTTTTTTTTTTTGTTTCCTCACACACTCTTCGCTAACACAAAATGCTACTCTATCACACACCTACACCTCCACACAGGCACAGACATCCTCCTACCAAAATTCTTCATGCGTGGCACATAGACCAGCAAGGCTGCCTCTGCGCTGATGAAGTGTTTGTTTAGCCGATTTTCCACTCAGTGGCCTTAGAAGTGTGGGAGTTTAGAGGCACTTAAAGGCCATAGTAACTCTGAATGAGCTGAATCTGGGGAGGCATGAGCAAGAAGCTAAAGTGCAGACCTGCTGCCTATGATGAGTGTATATGTGAGTGTGTGCATCTGTATTTCTACTTTCTCTTGTGTGTGAATGAAGTGCTTCAGGCAGCAGCAGACCTTTCCTTCACCCTGCAAAGTTGTGCAGATCTGTGCCATTGGACACCAGAGTTGATCTGACAAACAGGCTGTCAGACACACACACACACAC